TATCACTTTTTTTCCCCAGATAGGTCTTATATCACCATGGCACAAATCTTAAATCTTGAGATTCAAGGTATTAATTATGAAATATATTAAGATATCAAGATTCAAGGTATTAATTATGAAAACTAAATCTCCTTCCCACCTTACCCCTAGCCACCCAGTTCTCCTCTAACACACCCACTAATATTAGTTTCTTTGTAGCCTTTCACAGATATTCAGTATATGTATATCCATTTTTAAAAATATTTTTACATAGTATCATACATCATTGGCACCCTACTTTTTCACTTCATACAACATCTTGAAAATCAGGCAATAGCAATAACTTTTTAAAAACTACATCCCTCAATTTTTAAAGGCTGCATTTTTATATCAACATAACTAGTCTCTGATAGATGGAAAGGTGAGTTGTTTCTAATATTTTACTCTTATAAAAAAATGCTGCAGGCCGGGCGCGGTGGCTCACACCTGTAATCCTAGCACTTTGGGAGGCCGAGGCGGGCGGATCGCTCAAGGTCAGGAGTTCGAAACCAGCCTGAGCAAGACCCCGTCTCAACCAAAAATAGAAAGAATTAATTGACCAACTAAAATATATATACAAAAAATTAGCCGGGCATGGTGGCGCATGCCTGTAGTCCCAGCTGCTCGGGAGGCTGAGGCAGTAGGATCGCTGAGCCCAGGAGATTGAGGTTGCTGTGAGCCAGGCTGACGCCACGGCACTCACTCTAGCCTGGGCAACAAAGTAAGACTCTGTCTCAAAAAAAATAAAAAAAAAAAATGCTGCAAAGAATAACCTGTATTTTCACACATGTGGGAATATGATGAAGTAAACCCAAACCTAAAGGATTTACCTGCAGGAAAAATACCAAGAAGTGAAAATGATTAATCAAAGGACATACTTAAACTTTAGTAGGCATTTTTAAATTTTGGCAGATATTTCCCAAATCTACTAAGAGAATATACCAACCTATATACTTCCTCTAACAATGCATCAGAATACCTATATTTCCTATCTTTCCAAAAATGTTTTCTTAAAAGCCTTCCCTAATTTCAAATATATAAAGGGGAAAAAAATCTGTTTTCCTTCTCTTAAAGATCTGATATTTTTCTTGATGACTACGTAGCTATATATACTGCCAAAAAAAAGAATCCTTTTCTCCTTTTCACACTAAAAGTGCCTTCAGTATATTCTAAATTTCCATATGAATTTGGGACTACTTTTATTCTGTACTACTAATCTATCTAATCATACACCAGAATCATGATGTTTTAACTAGTGTAACTTTAGAATATACCTTTAACATCTGGGAGAATTAGGTTCCTTTTTACGGGTTTATTTTTTTTTTTTGAGACAGAGTTTCAACTTTGTTGCCCAGGCTAGACTGAGTGCAGTGGCCTCAGCCTAGCTCACAGCAACCTCAAACTCCTGGGCTCAAGCAATCCAATCCTGCTGCCTCAGCCTCCTGAGTAGCTGGGACTACAGGCATGTGCCACTGTGCCCAGCTAATTTTTTCTATATATATTAGTTGGCCAATTAATTTCTATAGTAGAGACAGGGTCTCGCTCTTGCTCAGGCTGGTTTTGAACTCCTGACCTTGAGCAATCTGCCCACCTCGGCCTCCTAGAGTGCTAGGATTACAGGCGTGAGCCACCGTGCCTGGGCAGGTTTCTTCTTTTTCAGAATTTTTCTGGACCAGGCAGGGTGCCTCACGCCTGGAATCCTAGCACTCTGGGAGGCTGAGGTGGGAGGATTGCTAAAGGTCAGGAGTTCGAAGCCAGCCTGAGCAAGAGCGAGACCCCGTCTCTACTAAAAATAGAAAGAAATTAAGTAAGTAGCCAACTAAAAATATGTAGAAAAAAATTAGCTGGCCACGGTGGCGCATGCCTGTAGACTCATCTACTCAGGAGGCTGAGGTAGTAGGATTGCTGGAGCCCAGGAGTTTGAGGTTGCTGTGAGCTAGGCTGACACCACAGCACTCTAGCCTGGGCAATAGAGTGAGACTCTGTCTCAAAAAAAAATCCAAAAAGAATATATTCACAGTAAGATTGTTCACATAATGTCAGTCTCATCAAGTTAACAATAAACTCCATTTCCAACGGCATGGACTATATATTTGTTTACCACCTTAGCCCTTGTATTTGGTACTGAAAAAAATTAGTGAGTAAACTGCATTATCTGCTACCCTGCATAACTGTATCAGAGGCTTACTTGCCTAATTCACAATTCAAGATTTAGTAAGTACCTTGAGTTCTCATTATAAAGGTATGGAATGAGTGATGATAAGAATCTATCAGTTAGGACACTTTCACATACACGTAAGAGAAAATTCAAAGCAAACTGGATTAAACAAGGTATCTATTAACATATTACTGAAAGTCTAAAGGTATAGCACCTTCACGGAAGGCTTGATCTAGCAGCTCAACTGAAGTGACCAAGGCATGGTTTTTCTCCACTCTGTTCCTTCAGTGTTGACTTATTCAACTAGCTTTCCTTTGATGGTCAGAAGATAACTGCCAGGAGTTCAATGACTATGTTTTCAGGTTGAAATTCATTTTAAAAAGTGCCTTCATCCCAGCCTTCCTAGCAAATGTCCTAAGATTCATTCTGATCGATCTGGCTTGGTTCACATGCCTGCCATGATTGGCTTAGATAAGACACATGATCCATTCCTACAAACTCATCAAAATTTATATGAAACAAAGCACATTAAAGTGGACCTTAGTGATTTAAATTTCCTATATTACTGAACAATATTACTGCATTTAAACTGATGTTGGTAAAGCACATTACATAACTTTCCTTATCTTCTTTTTTTTTTTTTTTTTGAGACAGTCTCACTCTGTTTCCAGACTAGAGTGCCGTGGCATCAGCCTATCTCACAACAACCTTCAACTCCTGGGCTCCAGCAATCCTGCCTCAGCCTTCCGAGTAGCTGGGACTACAGGCATGCACCACCATGCCCAGCTAATTTTTTCTATATATTTTTAGTTGGCCAATTAATTTCTTTCTATTTTTTTTTAGTAGAGATGGGGTCTCACTCTTGCTCAGGCTGGTCTCGAACTCTTGAGCTCAAACAATCCACCCACCTCGGCCTCCCAGAGTGCTAGGATTACAGGTGTGAGCCAACACGCCTGGCCCCTATCTTCTTAAAAAAGTTATTCTCCCAGATTTTCATCACAACCCATCAAGAAAAAAAAATTAAAATTTTCCCTTAACGTAAATCACTTTTTGAAAGATTCAAAATGTACTACTAGATTATCTGATAAAATCAAAAACACAAGTTTATGATTTTTCTTGCTAACAAAACTGAAAGCAACACCATAATCTTCAAGAAGAAAAAGAGGCCCTTATCCCATACTTTTGTAAGATTATAACTACTTAAAAGATAGAAGAGTACAAGAATATCTTGACTTTGGCAAAAAAAAAAAAAAGGTGGTTTGTTTCATACAGTATTAAAATATAAGCAACTAGATAATCCATCCTATGCCTCAAGACCTCTCTAACTATACTCACCACCAAACCTCCTCTCTTGCCCTGCCCAAAACGCAGGGTCCTAGGAACACAGTGTCCTGGGAACACAGTGGGTGGATGCACACTTTAGGGAATCTTACTGTGAATGTGCATTCCAAAGCCAAATATTAATCATTCCTGAACTACGTTTCTTACTGTTCATGTCCCTCATTCTTACAATTAGCACAGAAAACACAAAGTTTATTCTCAAATTTTATAATAGAGAAGAAAGCAAAATTCCATTTATTAGACTGAAAGCCAATACTCAAACATGTAGGAGAAACTGGTTCTGATGGTAAAGTTGCACAAAAACAAAAGGAAAAATCCAAGCAATATGTTTTAGAATAGAACTAACCACCTGCACATATATTACACACTGGTCATCTTAAATAAAGAGCCTAATAATCATAGAGGGAAGTAGTGTGGTTAAAGAAAAGGATGTGAATTAGAAGGAACTCTCCATTCAATTCTGTGGACTGGATTTTCAAATACTTCACCGTTCAAATAATTCAGTTCAATAAATATGTACATAGGAATTCACTAAGAACAGAGCATTAGTGTCAACACAGTAGGGATATAAACACAGCCTTTGACTTCAAACACTGCTGAACAGCATAAAACATAATCAAGTAGAAATGCCCGAGACACTAAAAGACAGGGCTTTGGGTAATCAGAAAATGAAGAAATCAAATCAATGTGGATGATTTCTATGGCAAATAACAGAAAATCTCAAGGCAAAACTACTTAAATAAAGAAATTCGGGCAGGGTGGCCATAGGCATAGGAAATGGGGCTTCAGTTCACTTTTCCGCAATTCCGTTTATGCTGTCCTCTTGCATGTAAGGCATCACCTTCGACCTACTAGAAGAACGGCTATAGCAGTCCCAGACGTCACATCCCAATAAAACAAGCCCTGGAGAGAAGAGGGACCATCTTTTTTCTTCCTTTTCTCAAACGCAAGAAAACCTTCCCCAGAAGCCTCTTGCAGATTTCTCTTTTATCTCCCATCAGCCAAAACTGTCTCTCATGTCCACTACTAAAACAATCACTTCCAAAGGGAATGAGATCCACTACTACTAAGATTAGAATGGATACCAGTAACCATCTTGAACATCACTTCAGTGTTGGCTGAATATTTCAAGAGTATTTGTTTTTGTGGCAGAGCCTGTTCTGATTAATAAAGAATCGCAAAAAAGTAAAAAAAAAAAAAGAGAGAGAGAGAGAATTTCTGGTCTTGGAATGCAGAATAAATAAAAAAGAAAAATACATAAGCAAAGGAAGAGATGTGCCCAACTGGAAAAAGAAAGCCAAATTCTGAAATCATACATTAAATACACTGTTAGGGATAAAGAATTCTCTTGAACTGCTGTCTTTCTCTGTGATATAAAAATTAACTTACTATTCATCAGTAAATGCTAAGAATGCAGAAGTAGCCCTATTTTTATGGAAAGGATTTAGGTTATTTAATTACCAGTGAGGACAACCAGACTTACCACTCCTCATCAATGGAGCCACCCATTCAGCTATGTCTGGGTTGAGAACATTCCATATTATGCACACAGATGACTCTGCCAATAGTTGTTCCTTGAAGGTTTCTTCTCATGTGGGGTCAAGGTTTCACTCACAAATCCACACACTCCAAACTGGCCCTGTCTGCAAATGAAAGCATGCAATTAGAAGGCAAAAAGCTGCAGGGAGCAATTCCCCCTCCCCCACCTATAATTGACTGATCCATATGAAAACTGAATTCAACATTAGACTAAGCACCATGTTTAAACTAAGCAACCTACATTTCAACACTTGTAATGTGATTATATGTGGTTACCACCCTTTTCCCATCATATAAATTTATTGTTGCTTCCACAGTATACCAGGTACAACCCTACCAAACATTGCCAGTAAGCAGAATTCAGCAGACAGATATCTTTGTTGGACCCACCCAAGGTTGGTCTAGACAGTGTGTTAAAGGATAGCTACCTACATTTAAAATCAATATACTTCACATGAAAAATCAAGACTTCTGAGCTCTCTTGAGAAATCAGAAAATCTGGCAATAGTGGACCCACGTTTCCACATGGTAATAATCTGTTGGAGCTGATCAGCAGTTAACCCTTTAGGTGGGTCATGGTCTTTGCCGTTCTCCAAAGACAACGCCACTTTTATGTTACAACCTGGCTCACAATTACCTGCCTGGACCCCATAGGCATCTGAGCTTCCAAACTCCGCTACATATTTCTAATAGCTCCCAGGGAACATTTTATTATTGCCAAAGCCATGCATGTTTTTCTGCCTTGAGGATATAATACAGCATAAGGGAATAACAACATGGGCTTAGTCAGAGCACCCAAGACTTGAGTTCCAATTCTGCAAATGACTAGCTATGTTACCTCTGGCCTGTTTTTTAACCTAAAATACATTTCTTCATTTACAAACACCCAAATAAACCTATAAGCATTTAACACAGTAGGCAAACAGACCTAAATTCTAACCTGTCCAAGCTGAACTGATAATCCTAAATCCACAGCTTCCTCATTCTTCCTCTTCTCAGTAAATCATACCATGATCCACATAGTTCTGCTCAAGCCACAAACATGAAAGTCTTTATCATATACTCTTCTTGTCCCCCAAAATCATCACCAAGGCAATTGATTCTCCCAAATACACAATTTCAACAGATTCTTAGAATTCCAGCCATGAAAACAAATAATTCCTTCCTCAGAATCAAATACTTTGCTGAAATTGCCTATAAATTCAACTATTTAAATAATAGCTTGAAATGTCAAGGTTCCATATTGTGAAGAATATTAATATTTCATTAAAAGAAAAATGAAGACAAACACTGGGGATGCTGCACATCACTCCTTGGAAGGTATTGGTATTACAATTTAATCTGTAAGCTTACACATTTCTTCAACTCTAAGCTGACAAGGAACTAAGAGGCCATGCCAAATCTTATAATGAAATTGGGAAAACCAAGACTACTGTTAATAGAATAAGTGAATTTAAGAATGTTAGAGGATACATGATCAATACTCAAAAACCAACTCTATTTCTATAAAACAATGTTCAAAAAAGAATCAGAAACTGACACTGTAAAAGAGTCATTTATATCAAAAATATGAATTATGAATAAATTATCAAATAATGTGCAAACACAAATAGAGATATGCTATGTTCATAGATCAGTACAGTCAATGGTGTTACCATGTCAATTCTCCCCAGAATGTAGGTCTATTTCTGTACTCTCGATTTTGTTTGAGCAATAGAGTCAACGCAACGTAATTCTAGTTAAAATTTCAGCAGACTTTTTTGTAGAAATTGACATGTTGATTCTAAAATCACACAGAGAATTGACATGGTAACATGTCTGGCTTATACAAAGTTTTCTTAGATACAACACAAAAGCACAATCCATAAAATACAAAAGCAATAAATTAGACGTCATTAAAATTACTAATTTCTGTTATTTGTAAGAAAATGTTAACAAAATGAAAGCCACAGAAATAAAAGGCATCCAAGAAGTGAAACTGTCTCTGTTGATGACATTATCTTATACCTAGAAAACCCTATTGATTCCACCAAAAAACTGTTAGAACTGACAAAGTAAAGTTGCAGGGTACAAAATCAACATAAAAATCAGTAGTTTTTTACACTAACAGCCATCCGAAAAAAAAATTAAGAAATCAGTCCCATTCACAATAGCATCCACAAAAAATATATTTAGGAGTAAATTTAACCAAGGAGGTGAAAGATCTGTATGCTGAAAACTATAAAATACTGATGAAAGAAAGTATAGACAACAAAAACATATGTAACGGTATCCCATGTTCATGGATTGGAAGAATTAATATTGTTAAAATGTCCATATTACCCAGAGTGATCTACAGAGTCAATGCAATCTCTATCAAAATTCCAATGTCATTTTTCATAGAAATAGAAAAAATCCTAAAATTCATATGGAACCACAAAAGACCTCAAACAGACAAAGCAATCTGGAGCAAAACAAAGTTGGAGGCATCAAACTTTCTGACTTCAAAATCTATTACAAAGCTACAGTAATCAAAACAGTATGATACTGGCATAAGAACAGACACAGTGACCAAGAGAACAGGATAGAGAATCTAGAAATAAACAAATTTACGGTCAACTGACTTTCAAAACAATTGCCAAGAACACAAAATTGAGCAAGGACAATCTCTTCAATACAGTAGTCTCCCCTTATCCAAGGGCAATACATTCCAAGATCTCCAGTGGATAGTATTGAATCCCATACATACTATGCTTTTTCAGTCTGATAACCTAGAAGCCACACAAAGAATATATACTGTAGAATCCATTTATATAAAATTCTAGAAAATGGAAATTAATCTCTAGTGACAGAAGCAGATCAGATAATTGCCTGGGAATGTGAGTGGACGGACAAAAGGAGGACCTACAAAGGGCTGAAAAGAAACTTTTGGGGGTTACAGATATTTCGATATCTTGAATGTGGTGATGATTACACAGGTATGTGCACATGTCAAAATTTATCAAAGTCAGCTTTAAGTTTGAAAACTATAGCCACAATCTTCCTCTTCAGAAAATAACTCTTCCAAAAGTATTCCAATGCTAAGGATCAGAAACATAATTACTGTTCACAAAGAAAAGATACTGCAAAAACAACACTCTAATCTAGTATAATTTAGCATGGACAAAAATGAAACTTAGTGGATTTCAACATTATTCATTCAATTGTAGTCCACCCTTACATTCAGTACCTCAGTCCTTCCTTACATTCAGTAGAAATTAGATTAAAAACATTAAGTCATTGCATTGTGACCAAAAAGGCATTTTAATATAATCATTCAATAAGCGTCATCTGGATACTAAAAGGTACTTCAAATTCTGCTTAGAATTCATAAAGTCATGAAACCAGATCCAATCCAACTGCTAAATTCTGGTATGCCTTGGTGCTTTTTGTATCACATTAAATGCCACCTCTATCCCCATCTGCCTGTTATTTTTATGGAAGACACAGAGCAAAATGCCTTACTTCCTTAGCTGAATTTAACCATTAAATTTTATTAATTTAATGAATAAATAACCCATCTTTATGCAGAGATTTTATTCTTCACATTAACCAGGCCCAGTTCCATCATATTGCTATGAAAAAAAACACTGCTGCTTTAAATAAATAAGTTAACCATGCTACCTTCAAACACTTTTAGGACATCACAGAAAAATTATGCTATCATTCTGCATCATTCCAAATGACAGAACTAGAATGAATGAATGGAGGCTATATGTTTCACATTTGGTACATCTTTCTGAGTCACTGCTGACTAAAAGTAGAATGTCCTGCCTTGGGATACCTTTCATCAGACATTGGGATGTTAGGATAGTGAATCAAAAGTTCCACTGAATCGACAGTTGATTCAGACCAACTTTATGATTCCTTCCAATCCTCAGACCCTATTATCAATTAAAAATAAAGTCTATTTTTTGTTGTTGTTGTTGAGACAGTCTCATATCTCACTGTGTTGCCTGGGCTAGAGTGCCGTGGCATCAGCCTAGCTCACAGCAACCTCAAACTTCTGGGCTCAAGCAACCCTGCTGCCTCAGCCTCCCGAGTAGCTGGGACTATGCCCAGCTAATTTTTTCTATATATTTTTAGTTGACCGATTACTTTCTTTCTATTTTTTAGTAGAGACAGGGTCTGGCTCTTGCTCAGGCTGGTTTCGAACTGCTGATCTTGAGCAATCCTCTCATCTCAGCCTCCCAGAGTACTAAGATTACGAGCATGAGCCACCGCACCCAGCCTAAAGTCTATGTTTAAGTGCCCAATCCACTACTACAATCCAAAAGTCTTAAATTTAAACTGATCAAACTACAAGAAGCTAAGACCAGGCCTGTAATCCTAGCCCGCCTGTAATCCTAGCACTCTGGGAGGCCAAGGCAGGCAGATTGCTCAAGGTCAGGAGTTCAAAACCAGCCTAAGCAAGAGCGAGACCCCGTCTCTACTATAAACAGAAAGAAATTAATTGGCCAATTAATATTTATAGAAAAAATGAGCTGGGCATGGTGGCGCATGCCTATAGTCCCAGCTACTTGGGAGGCTGAGGCAGGGGGATCACCTGAGCCCCGGAGTTTGAGTTTGCTGTGAGCTAGGCTGACGCCACGGCACTCACTGTAGCCTGGGCAACAAAGCAAGACTCTGTCTCAAAAAAAAAAAAAAAAACTACAAGAAGCTAGAGTCCTTTAGTTTCCACTTTTCCCCAAGGAACAGTGGCTTAAATTATCAGGCCTTGACCCTCTTAAATTACTCTGATGTTGAATGAAAAATATGTACTTAACTACATGTCCCATTTCCTTATTCATTTAATGTCAAACACCAATTTCTTTTTTCTTTTCAAAGAAATATGGATCTGTCAGAGACAAATGTATAATAGATCTGTAAGAAATCTAGTCCAATTTCCTCATTTTACAGACTCAGAAAGGTAAAGAAATTTGCCTAAAACTCACATAACTAATCAATATAATGCCTATGAGCACAATAAATCATTGCCATTTAATTCCTCTTTCAATACATTCTAAAGAAATGCATATAATCATTTGATGAAACAGTTGAGGCGAAGTTATCCAGCCAATAATGTAGCCAGAGTTCAGTCGGTACC